CTCCATCCATTACTAATGCTTCCCGGAAAGCTTTGTTGTATGCTGGCTTTAACTATGGTTCTTTTGTTGACTTTATTAAATTTAAAATTTCAAATGAAGCCCAGTATGTTTTAGGCAGATAAGCACATAAACTTGGTTGACTATAAGGATCTGATTGGAAGTGAGAAGGTTGAGACTGTTAGACTTACTGATAATAAAAATAGATATTTGATTAATTTCTCCTGTCAGTGCTGTATGCTGGTTCACTCTTTGCAAAGTTTCACTCTTTGCATGGTTGGTTCCTATCAGGGGGCAGATGAAATGCTTCATCCAAAGAAAGCCCTTTCTTTCCCTACCTGAAATGACTCCCTCTTCTTACCTTCCTTGTCTTTTCTGTATCATATCACCCTACTTAATTCCTTTTTGGCACTTAATCACTTTCTGGAAATATCTTATTTGCCTCTTAGTTGTTCATTTACTATTTGGTAAAATGTACGTCTGTGATTTTTTTTTTTGGTGTTTTTTAAAGTTTATTTTTAATTTTTAAAAAATTTATTTATGTATATTTTACATCATTCTTCATTTTTGTGCAATGTGTGCTTTCTCCTCTCAGGTGTAGTCCCTTTAAAATTCCTGCCACCGATTCGCCTGTGAACCATCACCACGGTCCCTTGTGTGCTTCCCTCCCCAAGTCTGTGATTTTTATCCTTTGTTCGTTTTTTTTTTTGGGTTTGTCCCATCTCAAAGGCGGCATGTGTTTAGGTCTTTCTGAAGTCATCTGAGCACCTTCCTTTGCCCAGAGGCACTGAGCTTTCTGAATTCAGGACTTCTGTGAGGGTCTCATGACTTACTTAACCTGTGTTTCCATAGAACCTGGAATAAAATGACAGTACAGTAAACTGTGGTATCATTTAACAAATATTTGTGAAGTGAATTATTTATATTTATTGTTATTCTGTGCTAGGAATGACAAAGTATTAGCTTTTTCACTTGAGAGGTATGGTTGATGCTTATAGTCTTATGTGCTTTTAAAAGAGGAGCCAGATGGCGTAGTTACATTACTCCTGAGTGGTCCTACCATTTTATATGGTATTGTACTTTGGATATCATATCACTGAAAAATCTTGAAGGAAAAATAAAATCTGTCCAGTTTGGTGGCGTAGAATATTTGTGAGTCTTAAAAACCAAACAAGCAAAAAACACTCATTGAGTGAATCTTTGTCAGCCATTCTGGCAGAGCAGGAAGACGTTCTGGTCGATATTTTGTTTGCTTTTATTTTATAGTTAATATTTCCTTTTAGCTTCTATTTTTAGTACTGGAACTAGATTGGTGCAGGAAGAAGACAGGCAGCAAGCTGCTGTGGCCCCAGTTTAGTTTGTTTTGTGTTGTCGGATGATGAACATGTGGGGTATCAAGATTTGGATAAAGCCAGGGAAGAAGAATGATTTAGTTGGAGAAGGGAGGGAATGATGCTACCTTCCTTGACCTGGTTTATGGCAAGAAGCTAGCTAGCTACATCTCTATGCTTTGTTTTATTTTTGGAATAATTCTGGTGGTGGGAATAAAGAATATAGTGACGAGGAGAAATTGAAGAAAAATTTGCCCTACCTCAGGAACCCACAAAGTTTCCTAGGGAGACATAGGAATAACTGAATTTTTAGGGTTTGTTCTATCTCAAAACTGTGTGATTAGGTTCTGCGGAACTCTTCTGCATGTCTTTCTTGGTCATGCCCAGTGAGTAGAGAGAATTGAATTCAGGGACTTCTCAAATTATTCTTTTTTACTTGGTTTCCTTTTTCCTAAAATGATTTTAAAAACACTTAATGTGTATACAAAGCTCTGTGCCTATTAAATAATAGCCCTTTCCTGCTGCTAGTCACTGAAAGGAAAAAGACCAAAAGAAATTACCAATTTGTTTGAACTTTAGCATCTAACATCTGTTCAGCTTTTTTTTCCCCCTAACTCATTGAAGTCATTGAATCAAAACTTCAATAAGAATAAAAAGATGGGGAACATTAGGGAGGGAAAAAATTATTGCCTTAATTTATGTAGAAAATAGAAATAATATCTCTTTGCACATGCTGATGACTAAAAAAAGGACCAGATTTTGTATTTATTAATACAACCTTTAAAAAAGCACAGAGGTGTTTTGTTTGATTATGCATCTCTGTGGAATATCATGGCTCAACCATACCTCTCTCCCCACGGAATCTGGTAGGCAAGAAAAAATTAACTAGGGTTACATACAGAAATTGACAAGGAGCACATACATTTCTGGATTGTGGGACAGAATATTTTATAGGGTTAGTTGAAATGTATATAGAATTTCAGAGGACAGGCAAAATACTTACTATGCTTTCCTAGCTATATATAGTAATTGCTCAATAAATTGTTGCTGTTCATTATTTAGAGTGACTATTTGTTCTAGTTCCTAATAATGTATATTTTGATGGATGTTTATTTTTGAGCACTGAGACCATATTTATATTAATGTTAGATGAAAATTGAATTTCGGTACAAAACTTTATAAAATATTTTGCAATGAAGGCTTTTTTGTGTGTTTTGCATTTCTATTTTCATGACTTTTAGGCTGTCCTTGGTTTTAGATAAGACAAATTTGAATCTTTGATTCTCTTTTCTTCAAGGTCCTCTATCTTCCTTTGTAGGCGTTTTGCATAGCAAATACTGGTCTTACTGTGTTGAATGCTAAGTTTACTTCAATATCTGGTATTAGATAGTTTGTGTAATATTAAGTGCAATTTTTTTTAACTTTTTTTTTTTTTTAAAGATTTATTTATTTATGCATACAAGAGCTGCGGCACAGGCCAGAAATGCGGTGGGGAGGAGGAGTGAGAGGATTCACCAGAGAGTGCGGAACAGAACAGGCAGAGTGACTGAAATACACTGCTGAGGGGAGCAGCGGGCAAGACTGGAGAGGTCTGCTTCTCCATGTGGGTTGTTCCCTGGCTGCCTGGGGATCAAATGTGTGCTGCAGAGGCTGCAGATCACTTCTTAGTGTGGTGCTTAACCCCTTGCGCCACCAGGGAGGCCCTTAAATGAAATGTTTTTAACATGTTGGTTGCAGTAGTGAAGTAGATAATTGTGCAATGTGAACATTATATATACTGAATTGCTTTTCTGTTTTAAATATTGAGTGGAAATATTTTAATCTTTGTATGCCAAGAACTCTAGACTTTCTTTCCCACCCCTCCTTACTTAGAAGCTGGTGGAGATGGAGTGTTAATAAATGCCATCACCCGTTCCCTTCCCCCCAGACTGAGCGCTGGAGCCTAGTTTGCCTGCAGCTGCAGTGGTAGGCATCTTTCAGGAAGTGACCTTGGCTTGTATTAATCAAATTCAGAACACACAAAAAAGCTTCTTGCTAACATGCTGACTTGATGTAAAATTTTATCGCATCCATTTTCTTTCAAAATGAGGCCATCTTATAAAAAGAAGATACACAGAAGAATCCTCTAATATAGTATATGAAAAAGCTTCTGTCAGGCATGTTTAGAAAAAATTCTAGATTTAAAAAGCATAGATATTTTATTGACAAATATGCATAAGATTAAATCTTCAAGGGTTGGGAGTAGTTACTAGAAAACTGCTTGTTTGAATGTTGAATTAAAAAAACTCCATACAACGCATCAAGTTTATTTACTGTTAACTGACAATTAAAGTCCCTATGGAACCTTTATACAGTATGTATTTTGAGGTCCTTCAGCATTAAGCAAGAGACTACCTTTGTGTTTTCAGAAATAACTGTGGTGTCTTACTTTGTTTGCTTGGATAAAGAAATGAATAACCTACAGTAAGTAATTTTCTTTGGCAGGGACAGTGGTCCCAGGCTCTTCTAAATATAAGATTAAATTTAAGTTAATAAGACCGCTAAATTTCGACCACCTATATGTATTAATAAGAAAAAGGTTACCATATACAAAATCAAACATCTGCATATTTTAGATTTAACTGATTTTTACCTATAGAACAGTTAATGTAACTCCACTTTCATCATATACTGCTTCAAAGAAATCTAGTTTTTAAAATGTGTGTATGGAGTATAGATCTATATTTAACCTTGCCTCAGTATTAAATACAGAATGTTGAAAAAAGTATTTAATGGACTAGTTCACCGATGTTCTCTGCATTTGCAGGAAATTTACATAAAAAGACAAATAAGGGAGCAGTTGTGTCTATTGCCAAAGGGTTCATTTTTTTAGTTTATTACATAGAGCATCACTGCGGGGTATTTGGAGGGGGGAATAATGGAAGAGAAAGCTTAAACTTTAGGAACTATGCCTTCATCTTGGTAGATTTGCAGTATTAAAATAGGCTTGTTGGATGTTAATAGTAATGACTTGGAGAGGAGGTGGGGAATCTATGCAAATAAAAAATTGGGATGCAGATACTTTAAATGTCTTCATTATCTGAGTTATTTTTAAAGCATTTACTGGAAGCACAACCAGCGTCATCTTTCATCTTATTGTAAATTGCTCATGGAATTTCACCCTCATGGAGATAAATCTGCTTCCTTAACCTGCATAAGTTCACTCTTTGTCTTAATATTAGCATTAATGATTTGTTTGTTAGGGATCGCAGGATAAAGACGCAGATTTCAAGGAGAAAGATGAAGATGATGGTTGCTTGATCATTTTGCCCCTCAACTGTCAAAAACATGTAATCTGAAATGAAATAGTCACCTTGAACTTAAAATGTTCCCCTCCCAACCAAAAAAGAAGAAAAGAAAAAGGAGAGCTTTACTAGGAAAGGATCCTGGTATGCAGTCCCGGTAGCCAATGAGTTAATGTTCATTTGCAGCCTGAGGGGTCAGCATGCAGTCTCTGCTTCCTGATTGGCTGCTAAAAGGTGAAATTGAAACCACTGTAAACTTTTGACCCTGTAGCAATTCTTGTGGAACGCCTGCCACTGGTGGAGCCCAGTGCTTCGCGCACCTCCCCACCCAACCCTCCCACCCCTTTTCCTGTATTTATTTTGTGTGATCGTGCAGCACTGCATGCAGTATTTCCCAGAGAGGGGGGAGAGGGAGGCTGAACAAGCACCAGCAAGCGGCTTGCTCACATGCTTGTTTTAGTAACCATGTCATTAGCACTACAATTCAGCCAAGGATATGGGGCCTGTTAATAAACCAGTCTGCTAAACCGGATTTTTTAGTTGTCTCCTTAATCTCAAGGTAATGAGAAAAATGCAGAATAGTTATATTTATTGCCATTGTTCAGTGGATAGTATCCTTGTGTAAGCAAAATGTATAGCATAGTTTCCTGAATATGTTGTTTTAAAAATAGCTTTCATTTTCAGTCCTTTATATTTCCCATTAATGATTACCATGTCTCATAATTTTTACATAAATGGTTAACATTTTATTAGTGTTTTGTTCTCCTTTCCCTATGTGTTTTAAGGAAACTTCATGGCATTTTGATGATAGCTGTGGAAAATAATTTAAGAAATTATCTGTACATTCAATTTTCACTAATAACCCCAACCCCTCAAAATGGTTTTGGTTTTGTTTTCATTTGCATTTAAATAGTGCTTTATCATTACCACAGCTCAGTTTCTGTCCCTCCTTTAATGTTCTTAATCGGCTCCATTTCTTCAACTTCTGGTTCTTCCTTATATCCCCACTGTCCGACGGACATTGATGCTCAGCAGATACTTACTGGATGAACATAGTTTTCAGAACTAAAGTAGCTGTTTGCACCTGCTTATTAATGGTGGGAACCATCTTTTGCTTCTACTTCTGAGTGCCAGTGTATAGTCTGGCATCTTAAAAGGTATGTAGTCTAGGTAATCTTTAATTGAATTCAGTGTCTCATTCAAGGTCATTTTAAGAGGTTGAACTTCCAAACTCTAGGATTTCTGAAACCCAGGCTTCTGTTTTCACTGTATCATACAAATCTTGAGATTTACTCCATACAAGATTTAACATTTATTATAATTTATTAATGGCTGCAGAATAAACATTGTGAATCGACTTTTTTCCTTTCTAGTATATATTTCAGGATAATGGTAATACATAACATTCCTTTTTTAACCCCATCTTTAATTAGGCATGATATACTGTAATTTGAAATAATTCCTGTCTCCCTTGTCAGAAGATATGTAAAGACGTTTGTGGTCGTATAGCCAGCGTGCTCTTGGGGACCAGATACACTGCCTCTTGTTTACTTGCACACATAATAATAGGCCAAGGAAAAAAACACATAGTAAAAAAACACTTTTTACTGAGTTAATACAGCTTAAAAAAGTGATGACCTTTTAATGTAAGATTTGCACGAATTTTACCTTGTTTTTTACTCTCAGTATAGCTACAGATTGCTTGCACTTCATTGTTGTAAGTGAAATCTGTTAGTTTTGACAAAGAATATAATTTATTGTTGGATAAACTGCAGAAGAATGTTTAATTTATACCAATATTATGTAGCCTTTAACCTGAAATTTAATCGATTCATAAACAATCTGCAGTGTTTTGAAGATGAGCAAACAACAACTGGCTTTTCCCAAGATGGTGGTTCCCTATCTCTAAAATTTTAGGGGACTGAAGTCAGAGGGAATCTTCAAGAGCATTGCCTGTAGCAGCAGGAAAAAACAATGAGTTAATATGTTTAATAACCCCATTCAATATTCAACAGCCACAGAAAAACATGTTCATAATATTCAGTGGTGTCTTTTTGTCCACTTGGTGTTTTCAAGCATCAGCGTTACACAGTTTGCATTTTCCTCTGTCAACTCCCCTCCCCTAGTTTGATTCTTTGTTCTTGCCTTGAGGCACATCTCAGATTGGCTATTAACAAAGCTCAGTTTGATTTTTCTCCCCTCTTCATTAGCTTTCTAGTGATACAGCTTTTGATAATATGGGTCTCATCAGTTACTTTTTAGTTCAAGAAAATTAATGTCCCTCCATCAGATATCTACTATTTTTGGAAAAATGTCAATTGGTTTATTTGTCACTGGTTTTATATTTGTTAGTGAGATTGATTAATGTTTCAATTATGAAAAGGGATAAGAATAAACTTATTTTTGGTAGTTTAAAATTATGGTCCCAAGACCACCATATGTGCTAGAACTGTTGCCTCTGCAGAATCTTGTTTCCAGACAAGTTACCTGCGGTTTCCCTAACAATTCCATACTTTACAGGATTCTGTACATGTTTTCTCTTTGGACTGTGGATTATGGGGATACAAACTGACTGGCTCAGCACACTCCTTTGGATACTTCTTATCAGCAACATAATAATACTTGGAAATTAATGTAGATTCTGTTGTCCACCTCCCTCACTGGACAGCAGTATTTGTTTCCTGAGTTTGCCCTTATGGCTCTAGGTACATTCTGACTCATTCCTTTTCCTGCTCCGCCACTCCTTCCATTTCTGAAATGAAACTTGATTTACAAGCAGGCCCAGAAAACCTTAGATTTTCTTTGCAGAAGTTCTGCCTACCTGCCTTCCTCCATCAACTTCCTCTAAGTAAGTTGGATATCATAAAAATTCAAGTTAGAAAATATTGAATTCATTTGAAAACTAATGCTAATGATTGTTTTTTTTTATTTCAATATGCTTGGGAATTCCTATGTGCAAATAGTCTTGCTTGGCTAATAATTTTTTATTTATTGAGCATTTATTGAGCATTGTATTTATGTACTCTGTGCTGGTAATTAGTAATTATACTTTTTCACTTAATCTTCATAAGAATTTATGAAATCTAAGGCTTGAGGAAGGCTTAAGTCAGTTGACTTACCTAACTAGTAAGTGAAAGAGCTGGAGTTGAGTCTGTATCTGGCTGACTCCAAGCTGCTTCTGCTCTTTAACCTCATGCTAACTACTAGTTACACTGTTGTGGAATGGAAGATACATTCTAAGAACCAACTTACTTTGGCACACGTCTAGATTTTAGGCTGGAGACTAAACTGATTATAAATAGTTATGTTAGTGGATATAGCTGTTCTTTTTACAACTTTAATTGTATGGCACTGATACACTACCTGGATTTTCTTCTTTTTCCTTTGAGAATCACATGTGTGTTCTCCCCCTCCCCCCCCCCCCCCCCATTTTTTCACTTTAATTTGGATGATATGTACATTCCTTGGAATTAGTGAATATCTCCACCCTTCCCCCAGACAACCTGGCAGTTCTAGCATGGGCACAGTTATTACTGTTGTTGTCTTGGTAGAGGTACCACTGGAATTAGTGGCAGTCAGTTTGTTGTTGCTTTATTTTTATTTTGTTGATACATTTGAAAATTCATAAGGTGAGGGTATGTTTTTATTGGTTTACTTTCTTGTTCCAGAGACCATTCCATATTTTCTCAACTACAAATCTACTGTTTATATGTTCATGTATTCTATTGCAAATTATTTTGAAGAATTGCCTAACATTTCCCTTGTCTACATTTAAAAAAATTTTCTGTTGATATCAAAATGCGGCCTTTTCTACAGGGAAAGAAAACTCCCAGGGCTCTTGTCTTCTTCCTTGCTTGCTTGCTTGCTCCGTCCATCTGTCCGTCTGTCCACCCACCCATCCATCCATCCATCCATTCATCTAGGGGGTGGGTATCTACTGTTTTTGGACTTGGGTATTTAAGCATTAACTTCTGCCAGGACATTAATATTGCTTTGTTAATTGTTGAACATTGCTTTTAGACAGGGAAGACGCCCTAAATTCAGATTACTCATCTGCTTTGATTTCTTTTCAGGATTTGGAGCTGGTTTCCTCCACCTCAACTTTGCATTGTCCTTGATTACAAACGGTGACAGAATATATTGTGTATTCCATGCCTGACGTTAAGCAGCAGTAGTAGTATATGGCCAAATGAGCCATCAGCTCAAATAACTAGGAAAAGGCCTTATATTGATAGCTTTTTGTTTGTTGGCTTTGTATAGCAAGGAAGGGAAAGATGGGAAAAGTTTGTGAATAACTAGTAATAATACTTACATTAAGAAAGGGCAATATAATTCAACCTCCCCTCCCCTGTTTTTTGTCCTCAGGATCAAAATACTTGCTGAACAGTGGAGTCAGAGACCAATAAAAATAGACTACTTGAACGTCATTTGACTGGTTAGCCAGGTAATTCAGTTTTACTTTGACTTGATCCTTTGTAATCCTTTCTGACTTCATTCTTCTGAGATACTCCCCTGCCCTTTTTTTTGATTTATGATTTAATTTTAAAGTTTTACATTTCATGTTTTTCTCTTTAATGGTGTTAGTTAAATGAATGAATGGTCTTGGAATCAGTAAATAGGTGTATGTCCATGTAAGTACAGATACATAAAAACATCTTTTCTGAGGAGGAGGGAAACTGCATGCTACAGGTACGTAGGAGACTGCTCTCTCGCCCATTATTTCCCAGTTTTATTGGAATTTAGTCAAAGTCTGAGTCAGTCCCACCTATTTTTACTACTTCACCTTGTTAAGATTTGTTTTCCCATATTGCTTATGCTGACCAATAATATTTCATCTTAATTCCTCTGCTAACTTTTATTACTGCACCAGACAAGGAAAAATAAGAATAGAGAAAGTTGTCTGATAGTCAAGAAAGCAATTATGCTTTGCTTAGGTAGTTAAATTTTTCTGTTAGTCATATCATAATTTTCTTGATTTAACTAAACCTGAAATCTGAGTCGTTTTTTAAATTTTTTTTTTAAAGATTTATTTTATTTATACACAAGCAGGGGTACAGGCCAGATGGGCGGGAGGGTGAGAGAATTCACCAGAGACAGAATGGGGAACAGAATAGGCAGACTGACGAAACACACTGCTGAGGGAGCAGCGGGCGAGACAGGAGAGATCTGCCGTACCATGTGGGATTCTCGCCGGCTGGCGGGGATTGAACCCATGGTGCAAAGGCTGCAAACAGCTTCACAGTGCGGCGCTCAGCCGCCTGCACTACCAGGGAGGCCCCCGTTTTTAAATCTTTTAAATCGTTTAAAAATCTTCCCCCTCTCACTACTTTTAAAAAATAGGCCTTATTTGATTTTCTGTTTTCATGTCACTTGGATTTATTCTGCTTTCTGTTACTGATTTTAGCTTCTTAGCCAAAACCCCATAATTGTCTCCTTGTGTTTGTTCAAATGTCCCTTTATTGCTTATTTACTGTTTCTACCTATTTGAAATTTTTTAAGAAAACTTTCTTAAAAACATTCCTTTGGGGCCTCCCTGGTGGAGCACGGGGTTAAGTCTCAGCACTATCAAGCTATTGCCAGCCAGTGCAGCACACGTTTGATCCCCAGCCAGGGAACTTAAAATGACTGGAGAATTTGTATGTAGTACTCTTCTCTTAACCATTCTGCTCAAGACTGAGAATAAAACAAATTGTGTTCTTAAATTATTGGAATTAGTTCTCTTCACTTTTATATCTTCTCTTACTTTCTGCATAATTTAGTTATGGTATTTATTTGAAATGAACTTAGGTTTATTTGGTTGCTTGACTTTCAGTTTATTTTTTTTTAAGATTTATTTATTTATGCATACAAGAACTGGGGTACAGGCTAGAGATGCGGGGGTGAGAGGATTCACCAGAGACAGAGTGGGGAACAGAACAGGCAGACTGAAGTATACTGCTGAGGGGAGCAGTGGGCGAGACAGGAGAGGTCTGCTGTGCCATGTGGGTTTCTCCCTGGTCGGCCAGGGATTGAACTTGTGCTGCAGAGACTGGGGATAGCTTCACAGTGTGGTGCTTATTAACCCCTTGCGCCACTAGGGAGGCCCAGCATAAATTTTTAAAAGATGCATCCACATTATTGCTGGTATCAGTGTTTCTTCTTTTATTGCTATTCTTTTATTCTGTTGGTGTGTATCTATGTAATCTGTGTTTACTGATTTTGGCTCTCTATGAATGTAGATTTGGGCATTCAAACACAGCTTTTGTGTGGGTTTTTTTCTTCCCCCTTTGGGCAAATACCCACGAGTGCAACTGCAGTGTCTTATGTTAAGTGTGTGCTAAAGAAACTGTGAAACTGTTTTCTTCAAGTGGTTGTACTGTTTTGTATTCTATCTGCAGTATTTTCGAGTCCAAGCTGCACAGCTTTCCTATTTTGTATTGTCAGTCTTTGATTTTAGCCCATTCTAATGGGGGTAGTGGAATTACATTGTGGATGTCATTTGTATTTCTGTGATGTCTAATTGATACTGAGAATAATTCCTTAAACGTATTAACTTTCATGAATTGTCTATTCAGATGTTTTTGCACATTTTAGAAATTGGGTGTTTTGCTTTTCTATTGTATGTTTTTTTTTTAAATATATGCTAGATACTAATCTGTATTTTTCAGATGCATTTTGAGAGTATTTGTAATCTTTGCCTTTTTCTTAGTTTTGGAATTTTAAAGTATAGTTTGTCAATATTTTTTTTTTAGGGTCAGTGCATTTTTATGCACGAAGAGATCTTTGCCCTACCCTTATGAAGATTGCCTTCTGTATTTTTTTGTAGAACTTCTATAGTTTTTAAGCTTTATATTTAGGTCTGTGATCCATTTGATACAATTTTTTTTAAGATTTATTTTATTTATACAAGAACCAGGGTACAGGCCAGATGCACGGGAGGGTGAGAGGGACTCACCAGAGACAGAGTGGGGAACAGAACAGGCAGAATGACCGAAATACACTGCTGAGGGGAGCAACAGGTGAGACAGGAAAGGTCTGCCACGCCATGTGGGTTAACTCCCTGGCTGGGGATAGCTTGAGAGTGCTGAGACTTAACCCCTTGTGCTACCAGGGAGGGAGGATCAGTTTCAAAAATATGGACATTCTGTTTCAGGGCTGTTAGTTGAGAAGACTCTTCCTTCATTGCATCTCCTTGCTAACTTTATCAACGAATCATGTACAACACCATCTCTTTCTGATTTTTTTTTCTGTTCCATTGATTGTATCAATCCATTTTTCCATATGCAGTGTCCTGATTACTACAGGTGTGAAATTAGGTAGTGTGGGCAGCTTTTCCCCTCTGTTTGGCTGATTTAGGGCTTTTAAATTTTTGATACAAATTTCTGAATTAGTTTGTCAGTCACTACTATGGTGTTAATCACTCTGAGTAGCAGCCCTGTGGAATCTAGCCAGTTAGGCCATTTTGGTAATTATCTTGTCAGTAAGTTCAGTAAGATTACCAGGCTCTGTTTGGATTCCTCATCTTCCTGTGCTGTGTTCTGGAAATTGCTTCCTGGTAGAAAACTTGCATTGTGGTAGGGCTCAAATTGCCTTCTTCCCTCCTGTGTACGCCCCAGTATCTCTTATCTCAGGCTTCTTCCTCCTGTGCACACCCCAGCTTCTCTAATCTCAGGAACCACAGTTTTTCCACTGCTTGTTTTCTTCTATCTGAATGTAGTTTGTTGTAATTTGTCCAGCTTTTGCTGGGATGGATCCTGTTAGTTTCTCAAGTAGAAGTCCCACAGCTGATTGAATTTATTAAAGAAAAATTCTCATTTTTTAAAATTTAAAATTACATAGATGGGAAAGAATGCCTTTGTTACCATATAAGCTTCTTTGAGGCTATTTATTGAACAGCTTTTAAGGCTAGAAGATTAATTTCAGTGTGGAAGTGTTTATTTTTTTTTAAAGGAATGTAGGGTTGAATTTTTAAAGTCATATATATTTGTTCTTATATATATATTTTTTAGAACTTTTTCACTGCGAAAGGAAATGTTATCTTTTGAATGGGGTAGTCAGATTAAAAAAAGTCCTCTCTATACAATCAAGAGAGTAATATAGACTTAGGGACAATGGTGACATTTTCTTTGAAATGCGTGTGCATGTGCATGTAATCTAGACATTCAAGTGGTTAGATTTATTGTTCTTTCTGGATAACATTACAGTATTTCAGATAGTGATTTTATTTTATTTTTTTAATTTAAATTTTATTTTTATATTCCCCATGCAATTATAACCCCCTTATTTTGACCCCAATCCCTCCTTTCCCCGCCCCCCACTCCCCCATAGAGTGTCTCTGATTCATAGTTGTTTGTTGATTTTGATATTTTATTTCTTATAGTTATTCTTTTTCTTGGTCCCTTATTTAAGTTTTCTAGATTCCTGCTATGAGTGAAACCATCCGGTATTTTTCTTTTTCTTTCTAGCTTATTTCGCTGAGCATGATCCCTTCCAGCGCCATCCATGTTGCTGCAAATTGCATGTGTTTACCTTTTTTGAATGCTGAGTAATATTCCATGGTGTGTATGTACCACATCTTCTTGATCCAGTCATCTATTTTTGGGCATTTGGGTTGTTTCCAAAGCTTAGCTATTGTAAAAAGTGCTGCTATAAACATAGGGGTGCCGGTGCTCTTTGGAATGGATGTTTATGTGTCCTTTGTATATGTGCTGCCGAAGCGAGCACTGTTTATGTGTCCTTTGGGTAAATACCTAGGAGTGGAATTGCTGGATCATATGGAAGCTCTATGTTTAGTAGGTCAAGAAATCTCCACACAGCTCTCCATAGTGGTTGGACGAGTTTGCACTCCCACCAACAGTGCAGGAGAGTTCCTTTTTCTCCACAACCTCGCCAACATTTGTTGTTGCTAGTTTTTTTTAATATATGCCATTCTCACTGGTGTAAGATGGTATCTCATGGTAGTTTTGATTTGCATTTCCCTGATTACAAGTGATGTTGAACATTTTTTCATATGCCTGTTGGCCATTTGCATTTCCTCTTCAGAGAAGTTTCTTTTTAGCTCTTCTGCCCATTTTTTGACTGGATTATTTTCTTTGTTTTTGTTGAGTCTCATCAGCTCTTTGTAGATTTTTGTGATCAGTCCTTTATCATTAGTGTTGTGTGCAAAAATATTCTCCCATTCGGTGGGGTTTCTCTTTGTTTTGGTTATTGTCTCTTTTGCTGTGCAGAAGCTCTTTAATTTGATGTAGTCCCAGCTGTTTATCTTTGCCTTCACTATCACTGCTTTGGGTGATATGTCTGTAAAGATGTCTTTGATGTGCATATCATGTAGTGTTTTGCCTATATTTCCTTCTATGTATTTTATGGTTTCAGGTCTTATGTCTAGTTCTTTAATCCATTTTGAGTTGGTTTTTGTGCATGGTGTTAGGTAGTAGTCAAGCTTCATTCTTTTGCATGTAGCGACCCATTTTTCCCAGCACCATTTATTGAACAAACTTTCTTTGCTCCAATGCATATTCTTTGCTCCTTTGTCAAAGATTAGTTGACCATAAATCTGTGGGTTTATTTTTGGATTTTCTATTCGATTCCATTGGTCTGTGTGTCTGTTTTTGTTCCAATACCATGCAGTTTTGATGATTATGGCTTTGTAGTAGAGTTTGAAGTCTGGGAGTGTGATGCCTCCATTCCCTTCTTTCTTTTTCAGGAGAGCTTTGGCAATTCGGGGTTTTTTGTGATTCCATATGAATTTCATCAATAATTGTTCTATTTCTTTGAAGAATGACATTGAAATTTTGATTGGAATAGCATTGAATCTGTATATTGCTTTTGGTAGGATGGCCATTTTAATAATGTTTATTCTTCCAATCCATGAGCAGGGGATGTCTCTCCATTTCTTTGTGTCTTCTTCTATTTCTTTTAACAGTGTTTTATAGTTTTCTTTGTATAGGTCCTTTACCTCTTTTGTTAGATTTATTCCCAAATATTTGATTTTTTTTGTTTCAATAATAAAAGGGATTTTTTTTTTTGATTTCTTCTTCAGATTTATTGTTTGTGTATAGGAAAGCTAGGAAGGCTACTGACTTTTGCGTGTTGATTTTCTATCCTGTCACTTTACTGAACTGATTGATTAGTTGAATTAGTTTTTCTGTGGAGTTTTTGGGGTTCTCTATGTATATTATCATATCATCTGCAAATAGTGATAGTTTGACTTCTTTTCCTATTTGGATTCCTTGTATGTCTTTCTCTTGTCTTATTGCTCTGGCTAGGACTTCCAGTATTATATTGAAAAGCAGTGGTGAGAGTGGACATCCTTGTCTTGTTCCAGATCTTAATGGAAATGCTTTCAGCTTTTCACCATTGAGAATGATAGTGGCTGTTGGCTTGTCATATATGGCCTTTATGATGTTGAGGTATGTTCCTTGTATCCCAAGAATTTCAAGGGCTTTTATCATGAATGGGTGTTGCACTTTGTTGAAAGCTTTCTTAGCATCTATTGATATTATCATATGTTTTTATATTTTTTTTTGTTGATGTGTTGGATAACGTTGATTGATTTTCGGATGTTGAACCATCCTTGTGTCCCTGGAATGAATCCTACTTGGGGTAAATTATCTTATGGATACATTGTTGGATCCTGATAGCTAAAATTTTATTGAGGATTTTTGCATCAGTGTTCATTAGCGAGATTGGCCTGTAGTTTTCTTTTTTTGTGTTGTCCTTGTTCGTTTTTGGTATTAGTGTAATGTTGGCTTTATAGAACGTGTTCTTATATTTTGAGAGTAGGAAACCTACCCAAATTCTTCACCAGATTTCACTTGGGGTACCTGTAGTTGTATGTACAGTCATCTCTTCTCCAGGTTCCCCAGAGTCACTTACTTCCAGGCCTGTGAAGAAGTAACCTCCCACCTTTCAGACTGGTCCCATAAGCCAAGAACAGGTGGCAGTCTCAGTTTAGGCTCTGACTTCTACAAAGTTCAGTTTTGTTAGTGGTGATCTTTATGCCTTTAATTATGCCTGAGTAAATGGAAATCCTTCTCAGAACATTCAAGATAGGATCTTGATTGTTCGGTTACAATACTTAAATGGGTGGGCAGATTTTTATTAAACCCGGTTTTAAAAGCATTAATATTATTGACATGTAAAATACACTCAGGCTTTTACTTATTTTTTTCTTGCAATTTGAGGTGATAGAATCAGATGCCAGTTAATTTTTCAATTTGTATAAGTGTATTTTGTTAAATTGAGGGCTAGAGATGTATGACAAAGAAAGAGAGCTTCCTTATATGCAATCAGAAAACATAATGTTAGTGCTATATGAAGGGAGGGAAGGTTCACATTTCCCTGAAGAGGATGGAAGAGACCCTGTGGATCTGACAACACACATCTACCTTCAAGGCTTTGCCATTTACTTTGTGGCAATAAAGCATTATTACTAGATGACAAGATAAATAGGGAAAAAAATGCAAAAAGGAAAACTTTATCAAGAGGAGGATATTTTAATTTTGATCATTTATTATGCTGTGAATCTTCAATATTTGTATTAAACCTTTTTTCCCTTGGAAAAGAAAACAATGTTAAACAACAATAATCTTATATTAATGCAGTGTATTTCCTCACTGATTCATTCAGTCTCATGTAATTGCTTCATCTTCTTCTGCCATCTGCTTTAAAGAGCTGTTTTTTTGGTGTAAAAAAGACTAGCTGATTTGTCTCATACTAGTCATTTGTTATTTATCACAGGATTAGTGATATGCATTCCCATTTTCCTTATATAACTTGAATATTTAGTTTTAAAAGATGGCTAATATACATTCAGTACAAATAAGCAACCTTAAATTTATAGTTTGACTTTTGACAAATGTTACTCATACCACGGTCATGGTATCAAATATTTCTACCATCCCCTAAAGTTCCTTTGTTCCCCTGTATAAGTATTCCCGTTTGCTGGTCCCTGATAGCCATTGGTCTGCTTTAAGCCACTACACTTTGCCTTTCCTTGAGTTTCATATAAATGGCAGTTTCCTTACATGTATGTATACTTTGTGTAGTTGTTCTCCTGTTCTTAGGTATTCTGTTCTTTTTTTCCTCTTTGTGTTTTGTTTTTTTTGAAGTTTGTATTCCTGTATCTTCAAATTCAATTATTTATTTTTCTCCCTCGGCCACGTCTAGTCAACTGATGACCCCATCAAAGATGGTCATCATTTGTTACAGTATTTTTGATTTTTGGTATTCCCTTGAGTTCTCTCTTAGGGTTTTTAACTCTGTTTATATTACCTACCTGTTCTTGTATGTTTACCACCTTTTCCATTAAAGCCCTTAGTATATTAATTTTTAAAATTGCACAGTTGGTTTCCAATTTTATTAAGACATTTTTAAAGAATCTTGCTTTCTTTCCTGCTTACTAGCAAACTTTGGATTAATACAGTGGTTTAGTTTGTTATTCATGTCAAAGATGGGTCTTACAACTTTGACAGTTTTCTTGACATATTCTAAAACTCTCATTGTTAAAGTAAACCAGCTTAACCCTTTGTACTCCGCTGTCCCCTCTCAGGGGACATTGGTAGCCAATGTCCAGAATGGTTCAGAGTGCAAAGGGTTAACTTTTAGTTTTTGACTTAAATAATCAGCTGATCACCCCATCAGAGACATTCTTCATTTGTTACAGTATTTTTGTTTTCTAGCAAAATATAGAAATCAAACTTCTTTGCACATGTCATCATAATCTGTTTTCATTTATTAGTTCTCTTGATTTCTTATTTAAAAATACAAGTGATCACACAAAAACTTGCATGTTGTGTTCATAGTAACATTCCAAATAACAACAAAAACTTAAATATCCATCAGCTGAGGAGTGGATGAGAAAATATGGTGTTGCTATAAAGGCCGTTAATTAGAAATAGAAAGAAATGATGTACTGATACATACTACAACATGGGTGAACTGGAAAGGATGCGTTAAGTAACAAAGGACTTGATAGTATATGATTCATTTTTGTATGAATAGGCCAGAGTACATCCATAGAGACAGAAAGTAGACTAGTTGCTGCCTAGGTAGGGTACAGGGGAGAGTTTGTGTGCATGTTTGTAGTATGGGAGGGTTAGTGGAGTGACCACTAAGTGGCGTTGAGTTTCCTTTTGGGATAATGAAAATATTCTATAATTGATTGTGCTGACTGTTCTACAACTCTGAATGTACAAAAAGTCATGTTTCAAGTATATGGTATGTGAACTACCCCTTAATCAGTGCTGTTTAAGAATATAGCTGAAGTGGGCCTCCCTGGTGGCACAGGCGGTTGAGTGCCACACTGTGAGCTGTCCGCAGCCTCTGCAGCATGGGTTCGATCCCCACCGGCCGGGCAGAAACCCACAAGGCGCAGCAGACCTCTCTTACCTCACCCGCTGCTCCCCTCAGCAGTGTATTTCGTCAGTCTGCCTATTCTGTTCCCCACTCTGTCTTTGGTGAAGCCTCTCAGCCCCTGCACCTCTGGCCTGTACCCGGTTTTTGTATAAATAAATCTTTTTTTTTAAAGATTTATTTATTTATTTATACAAGCACTGGGTACAGTCAGAAGCGTGGGAAGGTGAAAGAGCCAGAGCAGGGAGCAGAACAGGCAGATGGACGAAGTACACTGCTGAGGGGAGCAGCGGGTGGCAGGGGAGGTCTGCGCGCCATGTGGGGTGCTCAACCGCTGCGCCACCGGGGAGGCCCCCTATAAATAAATCTTTAAAAAAAAAAATATATATATATATATATATAACTGAAGTATTTAGGAATAGTAAGAGCTCTATAATGCCATAAAGGAATTTTATGGAAAGATATTGTTATTTTTCTCATGACATCTCAAAAAATTTGTTATGTCATATTTCTGGGTTTTAAAAATGTTAATTGTTAATTGAATGCACCTCAAATTTTCTGAAATTCTTTTCAATCTTTGTTATAGAGTCAACCTGTAATTATAAGATTAATTTTAATACTACCACCGTGTCTTTTTTCATATGTTAAGAAAGTTTATATTAAAATTTTTTCTTTAAACAAATTAATTGACTTGTAAGTCTTGCCCATTCTTATCTTCACCTTCCTATTTGTCTGTTAAATGTTTATTAGATGTTTATGGATATTTTGTGACAGTAACCCCCCCAAATCAATTTTTGCCCTTATGCTTATAATAGCAGTTTAAAAAAAGTTTACTAAAAAAGTCATAAGTTTGGTAGATCTGTTGGTACTGTGGTTACAAGTGGAAAAACCAAAGTTATTTACTGAGAGTGATCCTACCACAGTCCGTTATCTCTTTTTATTTATTTACTTTGTAGGTTTAAATTATTTAAGTCTCCTCTATGGAGGGAAGACTATTAATATTATGTGTAAAATGCTGGGGTAACTGGTTTCTATGGTGATAATAAAGGAAAATGTTAATGCATCTATAATTTTAAAAACAAATATTTTGAACTTAATGTTCATCACACAGCAGTTTCCTTCAAAAGGTAACCTTTGGGGAAACAGATCTTACAAAGAATTGCTTTTAAAAGAAAATTCCTATTGATAGTTGTATTTGATTTTTGAAGTCAAAAACTAAAAGTTAAGCTGGTTTACTTTAACAATGAGAGTTTCAGAATATGTACAGAAAACTGTCAAGTTGTAAGATCCATCTTTGACATGAGTAACAAACTAAACCACTGTATTAATCCAAATAGTTGGTGTTCTTGTCTCTCTACCACCCCCCCCCCCAAGCCTCCGTGAAAACGGATGTAGATAGGTTTCAGTGATTGTTTATAGTTAGGGTTCATGAAAAGGACAGTTTTTATTTGACTTGGAAAATAAAGGCATAAAAGTCACCAGATAGGTGGTAATACAGCTCTTGTGGTACTTAATTTTGTAACTTCATTAAAAGTATAATTGACCTAAACAGCAGCTCAGTGATCTAAAAAGTGAACTGCTGTACAACTAGTTCAGTTTGTCAGTTATAAATGACCTTATTGCTCATGTGCCAAATGGTTACAGTAATTGCTTTCTTATGATTCTTTCCCCAAAACAATTTTAATGTTTTTGAGTCTATGTAATATTTAACATACAAAGCCTACATTATTTTGATGTTGATATTGAAAATCTCTAAACTTCTGAAGCCCCCTCCCCCCCATAGAATTTGTTATATGTGTAACCATTACATGTAGCACATGGATTCAAAATTGCTCTTTTGTGTTTCTGCTTTGTGAAAAATTGTATTGGACATGAATGCGTAACAGCTGACCTTTATCAAGGATAAACAGAAGCCTTACAATTTCACATTTTAAAGCAAAATTGCAAGCTGCTTTGCATGTGCACACATGCTAAAACATGTTCCTAAGATTTAAATATATTTCCATCATGTATTGCCTCCTATTAATACAAAAAAACACACTAATCTTTAATAAGCTTCTTATGTTTAACTTGTATGCATATATAAGCATCTAAACATCAACATTGTTGGATAGTTCCATTGAATTCTTTTTCATAGTGTGTCTCCTTCTATCCCCATTGCAACACTTGGAATGGATCTTTTATAGTTTTTATAAATTATTAAAAGTAAAAATGTACCTAATGTTTTCCAGGTAACACTCCCATTACATAATGTGTGATTTGACATTTCTTTCATTCCCATACTAATAAAAATTGGACCTAAGGTAAAAAAGTGAATTGTAGAAATTTAGTTGTTTCTGAATCAACCAATAGTAATATTCTTCTGTTTGAAGATTTTTATAGACCTGGTTATTTTCCTGGAGGATAACAAATAGAATTGAAATTGCATGATTTTTCGTAATTCTTAGCATTTTAAGATTTTTCATTAATATTAGCTTATGATAATTTAAGAATTCTAGAATAAAACTGCAAAGTTTGTAATATGTTGGCAATCTTGTTAGCTAAAATAACAGCTTTTATGGCTGTATGGTTTCAGATATTGCAGCTCTTCAATTTATTGATATGCAGATCACAATTGACTTGCTGCAAGGTAACAGGAGACATGCTTTGACTTCAGAAGATAAATTGGCCATGCACAGCTGTAATCCTACTGTCTTTTTATTTCCAGACATGATTTAGTAGTTTGATGCCTAGAAAGGAAGTTGAAATTTAATTTTTTGTGTGTATGAGAATTTTTCCTTTTACTTTAGATGAGCTTGTTCTGTGTTGTGAAGGTACCATGTAAATTGTGGATGTTGCAATATATAAACTGTTCTCCCGTTTCCACTTGAAATATAAGGAGCCTGGGTTCCATTCCTTCTCATATTCCTTTTGACAATTGAAAAGGAAGCCATTTTACTAAGAAAAATGAACAGTGAATGGAATTTAAATTTAGGTTTAACTGCTAGTGTCGTTATATTTTAAAAAAATTGCAGAGAGTACCTTATGCCAACCAAATCTATCTAGAGTTTGGATATTTGGTGGTCAGATAAAGTGTGATA